CCAGAGGTGAGAACATCAGAGGTGGGAAAGAGGGGAGAGAACAGAGGTGTGAAAGAGGGGAGAGAACATCAGAGGTGAAAGAGGGGAGAGAAAGTCAGGCAGGATTAAAACAGAACTGGTGTGCTTTGAACAGAAATAGAGGCGAGTGGTTGTCACCTAAAGGTGGAGCTGGGATGTGCTGCTGCCTTTTAGCAGCTTTTCCTTGGGAGCAAGAACGTGTTTGCCCGTTTTAGTTTGGAGGGAAAAGCAGCTCAGGCTCTCCTAACAAACATCAAACCACCACAGGATGAACATTCCTCACAGAGAAACGCTTAAAAAAGCTTCACTGTGCAATGTCTCCTCCTCCTTCTGGGCTCTCCTAACAAACATCAAACCACCACAGGCTGAAATGGAGAAAAAGCTGAAAAGCTTCACTTTGCAAGGTCTCCTCCTCCTTCTGGGCTCTCCCAACAAGCATCAAACCACCACAGGCTGAATGTTCCTCATGGAGAAAAGCTTAAATAAAAAAGCTTCACTCTGCAAGGTCTCCTCCTCCTTCTGGGCTCTCCCAGCAAACATCAAACCACCACAGGATGAACATTCCTCATGGAGAAAAGCTTAGAAGTCTCCTCCTCCTCCTGGGCTCTCCTAACAAACATCAAACCACCACAGGCTGAAATGGAGAAAAGCTTAAAAGCTTCACTTTGCAAGGTCTCCTCCTCCTTCTGGGCTCTCCTAACAAGCATCAAACCACCACAGGCTGAACATTCCTCAGGGAGAAAAGCTTAAAAGCTTCACTTTGCAAGGTCTCCTCCTCCTCCTTTTGGGCTCTCCCAACAAGCATCAAACCACCACAGGATGAACGTTCCTCACCAACTGAGAGGAGAAAAGCTTAAAGGCTTCACTTTGCAAGGTCTCCTCCTCCTCCTGGGCTCTCCTAACAAACATCAAACCACCACAGGCTGAAATGGAGAAAAAGCTGAAAAACTTCACTTAGCAAGGTCTCCTCCTCCTCCTGGGCTCTCCCAACAAACCACCACAGGCTGAAATGGAGAAAAGCTGAAAAGCTTCACTTTAAAACATCTCCTCCTCCTCCTGGGCTTTCCTAACAAACATCAAACCACCACAGGCTGAACATTCTTCGTGGAGAAAAAGCTGAAAAACTTCACTTTGCAACGTCTCCTCCTCCTCCTCCCGGGCTCTCTCCCCCACCCCCACAACCCACTGTTAATTTTTCTTCCGCCTTCGCTTGGATTTGAAAGCCGGAGCTTCTGCTTTTCTCCACCGCTTAATCCCCGCCGGGAGCCCGAGCCCGGCCCGGCCCGAAGAGGGAACGCCCCGTGCAAACCTCCCGCTGCTGCAGCTCGGCTCGGCCGGTCGGTTCTGCTGCCGAGTGGGCGCGTTTGACACCGACAGGGAAGGTGTGCACGGGGGGGAAGGGGTGGATTTAAAGCTCGGAGGGGGTGTCCTGGTGCTCCTGACTCACTGAGCACGAGGACGTTTCTCAACGTGAAGCTCGGCCGCTTTTTGGGGTCGCCTCAGTTAAAAATGGGTTAATTAGTGTTGAAATTCTCCTCTTATGTTTCGAAAGGGCAAAAGCCTGAGGGGAGGCTGCTCAGGCCCAGTCTTTATTTCCAGCCCGGTTTTTATTTCCAGCCCAGTTTGGTGCCCGAATCTTTGCTCTGGGCGGCGAGAGAAGCGACAAATTCTCAAAATGAAAAAGCAAAAAAAAAAATTAAAAAAAAAAAATAGGGGGAACGGGAACAGCCAGGGCTGGATTCCAGTCATGGGATTGAGGAAGCAGCAGAGCTCCACGTATGTGTCAGCTCTGATTTCAGCAACACGAGCCCAGGAGTGGCTCATCCCACACGGGAGGAGGTGAGCTCAAGGGTGAGCTCACCCTAATTCAGCCTCGGGAGCTGCAGGGGGGGGGGAAAAACATGAAAAGAAACAATTGAAGGACACAAAGAGCTCTTGGCATAGCACTGAAGCTGGGCTCGAAACGTCTGGGTGATCTCAAGGGTAAAGAGTGTTCTCGACCCTGGGACGCTCAGCTGGGTTTGGGTAATAAAAAAAAAAAGCCAAACTGGGAATGCTGCAATTGTTTCTTTTCCTTTTGCCCCCGGGCTCGAGGCAGGGGTAGTTTGGGAAAGGATTATGCAGAAGGCCGGGCTCGAAAAGAGCTTTAATTAGGTGCAGATGTTTCGGAGTGGAAGGAGAGGTATTTATTTACTCCTTGAAGAAAATCAGAGATCGGGATAGAAGAGACCCGAGCCAAGAGAAGCTCCGGCTGCAGGCAGGAAAAACACAGACACAAAGCCACACACGGCTCTGGCGAGGCCAGGGAGGGATAAAAATAGCCCGGAGGAAAAAAAAATAAAATGTGACACCGAAAAGGAATCGCAAGAAAGCTCCGGGGAGGCTCGAGCAGCATTTTGCAGGTCACCGTGCAAGGGTCAGCTCCAGTGACAGGCTCCCGGGGCCCGGGGACATGTGGGAATGCCTTTCCCAGCACATCTGTGCCGGGATGAGGCGGCGCAGGCACGTGCCCGAGGAATTCCTGCCTCTCCGTGGGGCTCCCGGGGATTAGAAATGGATTTGGGGAACAGTTGACACACGACAAGCGAGGAGGGACGAGAGGGAAGGAGGAATCCCACAGTTTGTGCCCGACAGAGGAACCTCTGTACCTACAAATCCAACTCAGCCAAAGGCCATTTTCCCTGTCTTAAAAGGAAAAAAAAAATAATAATAATAATAAAAAAAATCCCACTTTCAGTCCTGTGAGAGCTCCTGTGAGAGCTCCTCAGACACGGCCCGACTGCCAAAAAAAGCATCTGCTCCTTCTTCTCCTTCCAGCGTTTGATCCGAGGCGGGAGGAGGAAAATAAACCCCCTCCCTCCTTCTCCTTGGCAACTTCACCTTGTCTGGGCTCTGGGTTTCAGCTCAGGGTCACGCACTCCCCCTAAAGCCCGGCTCAGCCCGCTGTAAGCCGAGACTCCCCGCACTTCATACTGCGGATAACTCGGGCTCAGGAGGGGTTTTTTTTTAGTCCTGGGCTTGCAAACAATGAGCCTCCTGTCTCCGTGTTCCTCGCAGGAACCCAGATTAGAAGGAGGGCTGGGGGAAGTTTCTGTAACGCGCCCGTGGTGTTACAGCACCCACAGATAATTAAAAACCCCGGCGGGGTCAACAGTTCCACGAACTGGTTTTTTTCCCTTTATTAAAAGCGAATTGCACATCACGAGCACAGACACCAAAGCTAAATTTGTGCCAGGCGAGATTTCACCCCGACGGGATTCCTTCGAGCGCTTCTAAGTGCAGGTTTAAGCCATTAAAAGATTGCAGCACCAAAAGAAAGGAATCCAGGCTCCACTTTCGAGCAAGGAAGGTTTTTCCTGCACCGGCATCACACCCGCAACCTTTCCCCCTGCGCTGGGTAATAATTAAGTGGTTTTTACGAGGCTCCCTTTACTCGAGTGCAATGTCCTACGTGCGGGTCCCGGGACAAAAACAGGGTGACCCATGGA